GTGCCAGCTCTCCACCCGCGACAGAGCCATGCTCTCAAGGCTTTTGAGTTCCCCAGGCACTACTGATAGTGAGCAAGTCCTTGAGCGCTTCTTCCTTTCTAGAACTAAGGACTAGGCTGAGTTTCTCCATCTGAAGCCTTTGACACCTGCTAGGATACTAGAGAGAGAAGAACAGGCACAGAGCTTGCCCCTGGTTGCACAGGAGAGCTGGGACAGCTGCTTTCCCAGGAGGGCGCCCCATGCTCTGGCTGCTGAGTGTAGCTGAGGCGCAGGACCTCAGCTCCTCACAGGTTACATTGAACTTAACACATGTCCCTTGTTTAGATGCACTGGGGAAATGTCCCTTTCCATGTGTCCCTAAAGAAACCAAATCCTGAGAAAACAGGGAGGCATTGCTCACACAGAGGGATTTTGGCACAGAACTGCCACATATGACAGCCCAGAGAGCAGGGATCTTCCACAGATACTCCAGGAGGTGGCTGAGAAGTACCTGAATCACACATCCTACTCCATATCATCTCCTTCATTCACACAGAACCCAAGACCTCTGGGAGCTGATTCTAGTTTCAGCTAGGCTCATTGTAACACTTGAACTAGGAAGGTACAACCACAACCGCAGAGCTGAACCTTTAGCTAGTCTTGGAAATGCTTATAGCCAAGAAAATGTTTAATTAATACAGTCCAGATTAGAGTAGGCTCTAGCTGCCTCAAGGTCTGCTTCATCTGCTTTATCCCCATGTTGTAGCTTAGAAGTCAAATAAGGTTCTCATCAGGATGGGATCACTCAGCAGCAGAAGCAGAGCTAGGGATGTGCCTATTTCCTTTCCAATCTGCACCTAAGCAGCTCTTTTCTCCCACCACACCTGCTCCTTTTGGAATACAGACCATCCCATGTCAGAAATTGAGGTAGGATAAAAGAGTTTTGTTCTACTCTTTCCACTGAACTTTCAAACCCTGTAACTACAGGAATACCTATCTACTCAGAAGGGAGACCTGTCTCACTCCTGGATTTTTCCTACCCTCACTTTCTCACCTAGTATGGAGAAACCTCCATATTTTTTCTCTCTGTTCTGATTTACTCCAAGTAATCTTTGTTTCCTTTGCTGCTCCTGCTTTTTCTCTCTTCCTTTCCATCTCCAGCCCTGTACCACTTCTCAAAAGAAGCTTCTGTCCTTTAATCTGTCCCTTGCAGCATCCACCTCTGGCCCCAGGGAGATGGGAAGCCCTGGCCTGGCTGTTCACATGAGATACGCTCCAAGGGCTTGCACAGCACAGTGATTTCCACAGCAGCCATGCTCTTGGCAAGCCTCTGTTCTGTCCACTACTCAGATATTTCAGTAATACTGACAAGGATACAGACAGACTCTCACACAGGTAAGCTCTTGGTTTTCTGATACAAGTCCACAATTAAATTAGCCTCTGGGAGAGGCATTTATCTTTTCATGGGTCTTTAATTACCAAGCTTACCAGTGCATGGTATAAATAATTTTCTTTATTGGCAAGTTGATCAACTATGTGCTCAGCCTATACAAGACACAGTGATGCAGAAAGTTCTTGTCCCAGGTAAGAGAGAAACAGGAGGGGAATGGGAACTAAGGGTAAAAGACAGAGAGACTCATAGTACTTTTCAAGCATTACATTCCATTCTGTAGGAGTTACAAACAGGACTGAGGCTTAGAGAAGAGAGCAATAACTTGCTCTCTGAGCAAGAGAGCAATAACCTGGAGACAAGACATCTGCAGCTGTCCCTTTTCCTGATCCCATCTGATTTTTGGGCCATTCTCTGGTCCATGTCTGACCACTGAAAACAAGGATCCAGCAGCATGTCACGGCAAGGTTTGCTCACACATCCTCAGACACCAGTACCTAGCTGGCTGCTGGAGGGTTCTTTGGACCTTTTGCCTTCTGAATGCCAGAAACTACAGAATCCATAGTGCTTGGGAATGGACTTTGCTGAGGTAGTTTGTTGGCCAGGCAAGCCTAAGCGCCAAATGAATCAGCTGCACAACAAAACATCTTCCTCTTTCTCCAGGTTCCTGACTCCTACATACTCATCAGAAAACTCTTTGCAGTAATCCAGCAGAGTTTAACTTGTCTTGGATCTCCAGAATTCCAAGGGAGGACAACAGGAGGTGAAGAAGGGTCAAAACGATTCTAAAAAGACACAAGGAGCCCTGCCCAAAGGGGCGTGTCCACAAGGAAGTGCAATACTGGAATTTTGGTGGCTGTCTGAGCAGCTCACTGAGAGAGGCCCTCAGTAAAAGAGTGAATTTTGGTCTAACATCTTAATATGTTATTTTAAAACCCCATTTCATTAAAAACATGTATTCATCATCAGTGCTTCAGAATCAAAGAGGGTGGGGGTGCAACCCAGCTGAGGAAAAGAAAAGAGAGAAACATGTGCACTGCAAATTCACAGATGTTTTCTACTGTATCCACATGAGAGAGAAATGTCAGAGTTTATTTCCTGTACTGTGGGCTGCCACAGCTTGATGGGGCTAAGAAGGAGGTTTCACTCCAGGTTCTCCTGAATGCTGACCATGCTGCTTTTCAGGGCTGTCTCTGCAACAGTACAGGGAAGATGATTTGAAGCCAAGGAGGTCAGAATTAGGTTTCACATTTCTAGACATTTGGAATACAGATTTGCTTGCTTAAGTCTAGCAAAGATAAAATGCAATATTATTTTTTCTGCCAACAATAAAACCAATAGATCCATCCATAAAATTATCACCTCTTTAATTTCCAGGTTTTTAATTCATATCCCCACTGACAGAAACCTGCTTGCAACATAGAACAAAGCCCTGTTTTGCTCATGCAAAACATTAGTTCATCCTACCAACATGGTAACTCCTGGATAATGATGTCTTGGAAGAATCAGCCATGCTACTCACCCTACCTTCCAATCATCCCTAGAAGTATTGCTTCCTCCATGTTTTGCACAGCACCAAACCCACTGCTGGCTCTGAACAAAGACAATGAAAACACCACTGATGATACCAATTCTTCTAGCCAGGTCCCAGGCTCACTTTCCCACTCTGACCACAACACACTTTTCCTGCAGTTTAAAGAACAGCCGGAGAAGGGGAAAAGAAACTTCTGCAAGGCTTGCTCTATTTCTGAGCAAAGGAGCAGGGTGACTTCTTAAAGCCCTTAGCACTGGGCTGAGAGCCAGGACCATCTTTGATATGATATTCCTTTGTGGTCTCATTTCTTCCCTTATAACAGAGATTTAAAAGCCACTTGTTTCCCACCAATGACAAGCAATGACATAAGAATTAGTTAATATCTTGATGGTGGTTTGGAAAAACAAAACCACAGACAATGTGACAGCTTCCCAAAGAGCAGAAGTTTCAGTACAAACTCATTCTATCTCAAATATTACATGAGAAAAAAAACCCAATATGAACCCAAAAGAAAAGTTTGATCGTTTAGCTGTCACAGTTTAAATTTCTCCCTTGATTGGAAGCTCTTACAGCAGCTAGAATGAAACCCCATTTTCTTCTGTATTTAGCAAACACCAATTGCCCTTCCACCCCATTGTTGGTAATTGGGTAGAGATAACCCAAATTCACTGTGTCTACACAGCAGCATCATTGTCAGTGTCAGGGCAGCCTTAGGAATGCTCCTTGCCTATTGGCTAATACTGTTGCAGAGCCAGGAGAAAAGCATCCCAACAGGATCAGTGACAGAGAAAGAAACCTACCTAAGCAGCATCAAAAAGTCTAAGATAATTTTTCTGCCAAGTAATGATTAACTAAAGGCATCCTTTTACAGTCTGGAACACAAATGCTGTAACAAAAGGGATATAAAATCTGTACCTATCTACTTGGGTTCTGGAGACAAGCAGATGCCTCAGGAAAGCAGTAATAGCTGTTTTAACTTCTCCTGGCTGATTAACTTTGTGCAAATTTAAATATGGCTACTAGTGAATTTCATTCCCATCCTCTCCTGAATCAGCAAAGAAAACAGAAGGACTATTGAGTCTCCAGGCACAGCCTCCTACCTCCAAATAGTGCACTGCTTCCAAGAGAGCTCAGGTTAACCCAGAAGTAAGAGCATGAGAACCACAAAGACACAGCACACCTATCCCTGGAGACCATCTCTTAGCAGGAATGCTCAATGCTTCAGAAGATGCTGTTAAGAATCACCCAAATGTTCAGCTGAAGACCAACATGTTCCAAAAGGCAGCTTCTCTTGAATATCTCTGGCTGTTAGCTGATGGCTCATATTCTATAGAAGGCTCATGTTCAGTTTGTTTTTTCTCTTCAACCCTTGAAACAGACAGTCCTTTGTCTAAGTGCTGTGGGTTGCTGGCCTAGTGCTGCCCAATGGTAATACCCCATTGGTAACTGGATTGATGGAAGGACATTTTTAGTATGATCCATTTTGACAGTGTCTGCCCAGCTGTGTCCCTGCCACTTCTGCTAACTTATCCTCCCAGCTCTGCTAGTTCCTGAACAGAACTCACACACCAAAAGACAGAGTCAGGGTTATCACTGGTTCAGCTCAGAAGTGTGTGTAAGAGTCCTTTCCCAACTTAGACAAATGTAAGAACTCAGGATATCAGTTCTGAGTCCAGAGCTGAAAATAGTGCACACTCCTACAGAAGGAACAGAAGTCCTTAAAGGGCGGAAGGGCAACCTAAAGCAGCTCCAAGAACCCCACAGAAGCTCACTTGGCTGGGGCAGCAAAGAAACTCTCTCAGGCTATGTGGTGTCTGGAGTATTCACTTGCTCAGAAATGCATCCTTGAAATGCAAAGCTTTTCTATCTTCCACTATGAACAGCTGAGCAGGTCTGCCTCACCACCCAACACATGCTCTCAAGGCCACCACACTGGGGACACTGCCTCACCCTGTTGTGCTGGCAGTGGCCCACTCTGCTCCCACGGGAAGTAAGGAAGTAAAGGGAGTTTTCCTGGTACTTCCAGTGGCCTTTGCCCAAACATGTAAATGCAGCAGTGAAACCAGACAGCTCTGGGACACAGAATCAGCACCTAAACTGAGCCACCCCACAATCAGGAAGCACAAGGCAAGCTCTGCTGTCCAGAGTGAAAAGATTATACATTAGAGATGAACTTCTTGAACAAGAGGAGATAACAGAGGGTGATTTCAGTGCAACTCACTGTCTCTCATTCTCGAGCTCCAGTCAGTCTGTATCACAGAACTATGAAAGCCTCACACAAGCACACTGCCAATTGCTTTTCTCTGGGTTACAAACACATGGAAGAATGGGAGAGAGATGGTAACAGCAGAGACAAGCCTGGGAGATCCTCCAGAGGGATGAGATCCAGAACTGTAGGATTTGTTTCTCTTTAGACTTTAGCCAGTAGATGTATGGTAGAACCTATGGAAACTGTCCCATTAGATTTTAGAACACAAACACAGCAGAATGTCATCATAAATAAGCAACGTCTGTGTTAAAAAATTCTAAGTACACAGCATTTTCTCCAGTTCTGACACCTTTTTAATAGAAATCACTTGTTTAGGAAACAAATAGCACTTTTGTAATTTTTTTACAATGTTTCTTACCTTGATCTTATTTTAAGTAACACTAGGAAGACCTCAATATCTTTTATTTTCCTTTTTAATTTAAAAAAGTTGTTTTTTTTTTCCCCCAGATACAAAGATTTTGCCCTTGCATAAAAAAACAGTGCCCAAAACGATGACACAAGGACTCACAAAGACTCACTGTATCTCACTGACACTATTACTTCTAATCTATACCATGCAAGGTCCCATCTACCTCTTTAATTAGACTGTCAGCCTGAAAAACAGCTTTTCTATTCCTTATTTAGTTCTTGTTACCAAAAGAAGAGAAAGGAAGTGAAAGAAAAGGACATTTCTCTGTTGAGTTCACACATCTGGGTTATGTGCTACTTTGTTCAGGATACCTGTGTCGTTTATAAATACAGAAAAGGGATGGAATCTCATTTTCAAGTAATTGATGCACATTTTCTCTTGGACACCTCCATCCAATGCTCCAAGCTGACCCTGGCCCTCTCTTTTCCCATTCCCAAAACAGACTTTCTGGATGAGTGTGAGGACCCACAGACTCTCAGGCACATGGTGTGATTCTTGGGGTGTCCTGTAGGGCCAGGAGTTGGACTTGGTGATCCTGACTCAGCATATCCTATGACTTTATGTGCTGGTTACTCAGTGAAAAGTCCATCTCCTTTCATTTTGTACATCTCCTGTCTAAACAATAGTAAATACTGCTTATTTGATAGACTTGTCCCTTCTGGGCACTGGGATTTGATAATTTATATTTCTGGTTTTTTGGTTTAATAGTACTGAGAGTTTAGAAACAGGAAAAGCCCATAGGCTCTTTGGACTTGTTTTTGTTTTCCCCTAGCTAAACAAACTGTTCTGCAAATAGGAACTTGAAACCTGCTCTCCTCCCTTATCCCTGCTCCTCACCCCAAACAAAAATAAAACAAACCTATAGTGGCTGTGGAGGCTGCTGCAGGCACACACTGGTGTAAAATATAGAGAGAGTAAATATATTATTTCACTTGGCATGGTGCTGGCAAAGAACCCCCAGCTGGCACTATTCATGTAACATGATCCAAACTTCGCATGTACACACAGAATAAGAAGGATCGATTGGCAAACTCCGGTGCCGCCTGGCACAAGCATCTTCACGCTCTCTCTGGAACCAAAGAACTAAAGAATTCTGCACTTTCCAGAAGAAATCCAGTTTTGCTTTTCTAGAGTTTCTTTATTTTGCTCTTTCTCCTCGCCGCCACCTCCCTTGGCTCCTTCTTAACTTGGCTGTGTTATTTAGTCTCATCGCCCTTGTTACAGTTCACCATGCAGCTCTGGGAAGGGGAGGGGGCTAAGGTGGAGGTGGCAGCATTAGTATTGTTAGTGGAGTCCATGCCGTTGGAGATGGCTACTGAATTGACCTCAGAGTTTATGGGTTTTGAAAGGTCGATGCCTTGGATGAGGCGGATCAGCTGTTTTACCTTCTCCAAGGAGCTGTGCATCTCCTTCTGTTTTGCAAGGATGGTATTCTTCATTTCCATGCATTTCTACAGCAAAGCACAAAACCAGTAATAAGTTCGAGCTTATGAATGAAAGAAGGCAAGCGAAGGAATATGATGTTCACAGATCTAAATGTAAGTACCCAGAAAAGACTGCAGCTGCAACTTCACTTTTCCAGCCTAGAAGAAAAGAGTCTCTAGGCTGTCTTCAGAGGAGAATTCATATTTGCAGGCTGAGGAAATAAAATAGCTGTCACCTGGTATGGCTCCCTTTCATTCCAAGGTGTGCAAATGAACACAGACAGCTCCATCCTTTTGTGTTTCTTTTGAAGAAAACTTCCAAGTGTATGTTCTTACAATTCTTTCTATTAGTATTGCATTACTGAAATTTCTTTAACTCAGATCTGCAAGCTCAGGCATCCCACTGCAGCTGACTGCTGACAGTGTGCGTGCAAACCATTAATGGTATACAGCCTTTGCTTTCACATTTTAGCAGGAACATCACTTCCTTCTCTCAATAAGTAAAAGGGCACTTGAAAAGGAAACCACACTCCTCTTCACTTGAAAATCTTATTTTGTGGCCACTTCATTCTCTTAGAAGTGGTAGTAACATAGCTAGCTCATCAGCTAAGTGCCAGGGCAAGGTAACTTTAAAAAAAGCCCACAGATGATGTTTCAAGAGTGAAAAACTGCTTATATGTATATTTGACACTCACAAAAATGAGGAAACAGTAGCTATGTCTGTTACACTCAGGTTTTTAGATGAAGATGGCAAGCTTCCTAGATTTTTAAAATCTTTTTTCCATACTGATCTCCAGATACTGTTGGTTTTACCTTTAATGTTTTCACATGTAGCTCATGGCATCATAATAACCCTAAAGCATCTAGACCTAATATGCGTGTTTTGGACAGGTCCAATATGAACATTCTCCTTGCCCACTGCCAATCCCTCATGTTAAGGCTTTGCATCTGCCTGGGTACACCACTGAGAAATGGTGATAGTTGTCTAGTACTGCTCAGGTTACACTCAGCTACTGCTAATCAGAAGGTGACAGTCCCCAGCACTGTTAGCCAGCCCTTCACAATCATTTTATTTGTATTGACAGCACTGAGGGGTCTGTAAAAATGGGACACTTTTGCTCTAATAGGCAAAGACAGGAAAAGTGCAGCCTGGAAAGTGCATCTGTATCTAAAAAGTCTGTAATTATGAATCCAACCTTACAGATGTTGCCACACAGGAGATTATATTTTCATTATGTGATACTGACTAGGGCTGCACCAAGAAGGGGCTCAAACTTTACACGGGCATCTCAAGAGACTAATCTGCACATTAAGGTGAGAAGAGTGACCAATTCAATATGTATGTTCCAATTACTGCAATAAACGAAGGTGGAAGCCAAAATTTCTGGTTTGAAGTATGACAATGTCTAGTTAATATCATGCAGGGGCACGTGCAGTGTCCAGCTGCTGACTGCCAAGGCAACACAGCAAGGTCCTGAGAGTCAGCCACAAGGAAATGGTCACTTTTGCATCAGAAAGGTCTGGAGAGTGCACCAAGGCTGAAACTGTCACTATACACAGAGGCCAAACCATTCTTGTTAAAGCGAGCCACTAGAGCTGGACTCCATCTACTGCCCACAGACAAAACCACTCTGGGCCATTTTTGTCACCTGCTGATGTTATATGTCACTATACATCTACCACATGTTCAGCAAGGATCATGTGTGAGAGACTCAATGTAAGCATACGTTGCCTTTATTTCATTCCTGCTCCCCAAAGTCCTAAAAAGCAAAGGAAAGTACTCACTCAATTCTAAATAAATCCAGTGGATGACAGGTCTAGTAGATGAAGTTGCTCTACAATAGTTTTCTCCCTGCATTGTGGCACCAGAACACAGGTCAAGGTTTATTTAGGAGGACAATACTCACTGTTATAGAATTGCTGAGCTGTTTGACCTTCTGCTCTAGTTGTTCTCTTTCCTGTTTTAAATCTGAACTCCATTTAAGTAGTTTCTGTTTTTCCTCTTCTTTTGCTGCAAAACAGAATATTAAACAGAATATTTTAAATATTTCTCTTACAACAGTGGATAAAGGGTCTAAACTGCTTTATGTAAAGAGGGGAATTGTGTTTAAACCAATGCTTAACAACTTCTGCACTGAATCACTCCCAAAATTTTACCTACATACACGAGCATGACAGGCTTAAGAAATATTTAGCCTGCTATTTTCACTTCACTAGTGATTAAGGTTATTTCCTTTTGTATGACAAAATTTCCTTTTGTAAAGGAAGTACCATTCTATCCCACTCCAAAAATAACATCTTCCATTATTAAAAGTGAAAGAAAAGTCTTCATCATTTTCTTACCTGCTTTATATGCAATATATGAATGAACAATTGCTAAAGTTCCTGGCCATGGGATTGCTTCCTCCTTCTTTAGCATCTGAAAGAAAATTTTCATAGAGATTTAGCTCGTAAAAAACCTACCTCAGAGAAAGCAAAAAGGAGAGAGAGAAGAGGGAAAGATTTAGGATTTTCTTTCATGGCTATCATTAGCCTCAGCCCTGTTAAGAAGAAGCTTCACAGACCTGATCTGAGATTTAACAGAGGGAATTATTCACAACTGTATTGTGGCTCCCATAAAGCAAGCCTATTTCTTACAAATGTCAGCATTTTCCTAAATTCCCTCCATAGCCACAAATAAAGTCTGCTAATGATACTGAACAACTTAAAAGAGGAATGAAAGGATAGCATATCTGAACTCAAAACTTGCCAGGAGACATAAACATTACTTCATGGTTCAGTCAAATTGCTGATCTTAGTTGTTCTGGGAAAGAAGTTTTCATGCTGCAGCCGAGTCTCTGCACCCTACATTCAAACATCACACTTCTGGCTAATAAAACATGAAATTGTCCCATCACTCCTTCTTATCAGAATCATCTTAATAGACTTGTCAAACTCTTTTTATAAGTGTAAGCACCATTTATGTCTTTCAGACCCTTCCTACATTTTGCTTCCCAACAAACTTTAGGAGGAAAGACAGATATTTTTAGTACAGGATCAGAGTGGTGTCTCAGAAGACAGAGGACTTGGTCAGTTTACAGTGAAATTACTCAGATTTCCTCCTTAATTTTGTTGGAAGCTATCACAGAAACATGAGGAGGAGGGATAAGGTGGGAGTAGGCAAGAGCAGGAGTACCCAAGTCAAATACTCTCTCCTCTCTGGCAACTACTGACCAAGTCACTTGAGTTTCGCATTTTCATTGTTTTGAGCAGCACATCATAGGTCAGGCTGTTTTCTCATGCTACCACTGGTGCACCAAAGGCCATGTGGCTAACCAAGCAATGAGCTGTGTTACACAGGACACAGCTCCAGACTGCCTATTATCAACAACCCTTTGCAACTCCTAGAGCTCCAAGGAAGGGTTAGGAATACAACAGTTTACTTCTTCATCTTGTATGCAATCTCAATGCAATTATAAACAAAATATTAAAATATAACCTGCTCACTTCAACTGTACATTTTCAGAGAATGATCTAGAAGGAAACTGTTCACCTACACTCATTATACTGATGCTGGATGATATTATTGAAGAGATCACTGAGGACAGCGATCAGACCTTCCAATGTTTGATTTATATAAGCTAGCAGGGGCTTATATTTGCTCCATCTATTGAGGTGGGCTCGTGCAAATGCTTTATTTATTTGTCCAGAAGAATATGCTAATAACTTCTGAAGAAACAATGAGCTTAAAATGATCAGCAGAATTTCTATGGGTGGTAGATAATCTTTCAAAAAGTATGCATACTTTGATCCAGAAAAAGAGTAAAAAGATAAGGGTAACAAATAAAGACCATGAATTAAGAAGCAAGACCTGACAGTTTTGTATTAGCACACATTCCAACAGAGGTAATAATTCAATAAAATTCACACAAGCCTTATTGCACATGGAATAGATTTGTTCAGTGTCAGGCTGTCTTGGTCTAAGTAACCCAAGCAATCTGGTTATTTTCTTCAACATCAAAAAATCTTCATATGCATTGCACACAACTCCCTGTCTGTCAACAATACCTGGTCTTGACATTTGGGACAGATCCACATGCCCTTAGGAATGGTTTTCAGAGGCGGGTCCAGGCAATCCAGGTGATAAACACGTGAACATGTGTCACACATCAGCAACTGCCCGCTTTTTCTGCAAACACTGCAAAAGTCCTCATGGATATCACCCTACAAAATTGAGGGGAAAGGGTTTGGGTGAGAGAATGCAAGAGAGAAGGCAAAAAGTGAACTTTGACATTTGGTATCTATATCTTAGTTGAATTCAAGGTTTACAGCACCAACTATTTTTAAGGTGATTCCAAAAGGTCAAGCCCTTTTTAGACTGTGAAACAGGAAAACCATGCCAGATGTCAGAAACACTGACATCTCTCCTCCCAAACATTCTTCTGTCCTCCCAAGGCAAAATGGTACAGCAAACACTTATTACTATAGCTTCTCTTAACTACTGCTACCCCATAGCCTTTCTTCTTTAAGATTCCCTCTTTACCCTGATTTTTTATTTGCCTGAAGTGATGAGCTACCCACTTTCTTAACCCTCCTGATTTTTGGATGTAAGCCCAACTCCACTCCCAGAATGCTGATTAGGCTGTCTCTTGCCAGTAATAGTATGTAAGAAACCCCAACTGAGTGACTTTAAAGAACACTGTTAAATATTTAGGTCACCTTTAAAAATGAAACTGTAAGGAAAAGGTGTTGTGCTTCTAAATGAAAAAGAATAGAATGAATTATGTTTGAGACAATTCTTTTTACTTCACTTAGGCTTCCTCAAGTTGCACTAAAAAAGCTGTGACTCAAAACTTTCTCATTGTCTACAGAGAGTGGATTGTTTCATCACTAACATAGACTGAGAGCTAGGATGAAAGAGTACCAAGAGAGATTTTCTAACATTTTTTAAAAGAAAAAATTGGAAAAATGACTAGCCATGTCTTTTAAAACAACTAGGTTTAGTTACTATTGCATTTCCATCAGAGAGAGTTCTTTTCTACAGCCATTAACATCTCAAAAAGGCAGGTCTGATTTTTGTTTCTTCTTCTCTCTCTCTCCCCTCCTGTTTTGATTTGATTTTCAGATATTTGAATGAAGAGGCATGATAGAAAGGTGGCTCAGCGATCCTAGAGGAAGCAAGGGGCACCCCACCCTCTCCTCCGACCACCGGGCTCTCCTGGCAACTCCACATGTCCAAGGCCCCATCTGGTGTCTGAAGTGCACCCTGTCACTGACTCACAACAAAGTTTCACACACACCCAGATCTGCAAGACTGCAATCATAAGATGTGTGTGTGGAGCAGAACTGTGGGTACACACTCTCCTGAATGAGATACCAGCCTATGCAAGGTTTCATTTTGGCACAGTTCGTCTCTTCACACGTGCAAACAATTTCTATCAGTTTGGAGGGATAGCAGATTTGGCCATACACTCACATATTAAGGTGCCAGACAAGAAAAACTACAGTAATCTCTACTATGGATGACATAATACACATGTAAGAAGAATGACACATAAGCAATCTGCTCAGGTTTCTACTTCCCAGTTCTATTGCTGATGTGCCCCTTCTTCAAAGGGAAAGCTCTTCTAAATTCCCAAAGTTAACACTGATTTCATGCTTTGTAAAGGATCAATCTTCAGTGAATTTTCAGTGCCATATTTTGGGTCCCTAACTCCCTGGGATAGTTGAGAGTTGAGTTAGGGTATTACTACACCTTTAACACCAAAGAGTTCCTCAGTGTTACATGAAGACCTAAATGAGTGACATTCCATGCTTCTTGTGAAGTGATGTGCTGTAACCAGACTGGGAAGAACTTCTTTCCCTCCATCCTGCATTCTCTGAGTACAAGGAAAAGGCAGCAGGCAAGAGATATCATATAAGCTAAAATAAAATCCTCTTCAAGATAAGGAGAAGTTTAAGAGGGGAATCTCTCATTTTAGAAAAAAATTTCTAGAGAATTATGTATCTTAAGATGCATTAGTTGCCACAGACTACACAACGGCTCTTGGTAAGAAAGTGCAAAATATCGGTGTGCTGAAAACCAAACCTGTTATGTCTCATATCCTGCAGAAAGAGCCCTACAAAAGAGACACATATGCAGTTTCTTCTTAAGGGGAGACATTTAGAAATTTAGACCCAGAATGTCTCAAATTCAACTGAGTGCTGAAAAACCTGTAGTGATACAGGTGACCAATGCACAGTGCAGCTGAATGCACAGAGATGCCAATACACATGCCCAGAAACCACAGTCCTATTTTTGGTAATGCAAAATTCAGAGCAATTCCTCAGAGTTAGCAAGTGTCCTTACCAAAACCCCGGCCAGTGTTTGATTCCAAAGAATTGCCCCAGGTCTTATGGACAGTTCATAACTATATGCATAAAGGGAGGGCTGGTATTGGTGTTGTGCCATGCACCCACTGACCTCAGCTTCTGAAGCAGCTTTGTGTAGGCAACAGCCAGCCAGAATAGGCTAGGGCAGAGCTCACTGAGGCTGCTCAGACATGCTACAGCCTGGAGTGACCGAAGAGTAATTTCAGAACAGATACCATAAAAGGTGATTTAATGTCACTTTCTGCTCTACTTCCTCTTCGCAAGGGACCAGGGAAGGGTCCCACAAGGAAAAATAAATTTAAGCTTTCTGGACAGCTAACAGTTTCATTTATTTTGATAGTGTCTAGAGCAGTGGGGCCTGGCTTTAGGCAACTGAACCGAATAATTCAGTAACAAAAGCAGATTGTGTGCTTGAGTTTGTAATATCTACACTTATATGTACACTTAACTGGAATAAAATGGGAATACTAAATATTCTGCAACATTTGTTCATGATCATATAAATAAAGATGATCATAGCGTATGATGTAAGTGAATTAAATTATCAGAAGTTATACTAATTCTGGCATATTCTAACTTTTATGGGCTTGACTTTGCAATCTGAAAGTTCTACAATGCTCCTCTCAATTGAAACACTGTTTTGATATAAATGTTCACTAATAAGAAGGCATTTTGTGACCAAATACTTGAATCATCACTAAAACAGAGTTTTTTGCACAATTCTTATTGCTGTGTAATTGACCTTCAAAGGCAATTGCTATTTTTGGTGTGAATGTGCCACTACTGCATGAGGGAGAACCACACATAATCAAGTGCCTCATAAGTGGCTCACATAACCATTTGGCAAGACAATTGCCAAATTGGAAAAGGGAAAAAAAGGGAGGGAAAAAAAGAAGAGGTTTTGCTCAATCCTGCCTAGTGCATCATTTCCTTCCTTTTCCTAGGTTCTAGACCTACTTTCTACCCCTTCATCCTTATCACCAATCCTATCATAAGTTTCTGCTTCATCCTCCCTTCAAAATTTCTCCCTGTCATTCAGAGAATAACATTTCAGGGAAAATTCAAGAAGGCTGTTCTCATCCACTGTGCCTCATGCCAAGTGCTTGGCCTGATTTGCAATTTTCATAGGCACTGCAGAAATTGGGGGACAACTCATCTTACTCTTTTGAGAGCTCTTACACAGTAGGAAAAGACTGAGCAGTATACACACACCATGAGATGGAAAAGACCCCCACCACATTATCCAGTCCTTCTCTTGGGGCAGTGTAAACTACGTAAACTCTTCAGCACATTTACAAGTCATCTGTACTTTGTATTTTTAAAAGTCCCCAGAGATGGAGCTGTCCCATCATATCCATGAGGGGCTATGGATTCCACAGTCCCATTTATTTGGCTGTCAGGAAAGGGTTTTTGCAGTCATGTGCTATACTGCTCTAAAAAATGACTATATAAAAGAGAACCTTGTAATTCCACATGTGTATTCCCTGGCTATCTGAATTGCATCTATTTATTTCAGTGCTTCAAACACACTTGCACTACTCCAAATCCTGCAGAACAAGTACAGTTCAGAGTCAAGGAACTGGCCTCTATTCCCTGTTCTATGTGATCAGTAGAGTTGGTCTCTCAGTCCATGTACTTACAGTGGTGCCACTAGACAGATGAAAATAGAACAACCCAGCTTTTTCTTAAAGGCCATTTCAGATGGTTGGGCCTCAAGTATATGTGACTGTCTTTTCTAAAAGAAGAACTTCAGAAGGAGAGTGTAGCACCAGTGTGAAGAAATAACCAAGCACCTTTTGATTCTTAAGCTATGCCTGTAAATACCAGTCTTCTAAAAGCAAGCTCTTAAATGAAAGCACATTCCAGCTCCTGAGGACTGTTCTACCCCCACTGAAAAGTCCTACACACTTTCTGCCAAATCAGTGCCACAAATGTTGCTCCTGGCTGTTCTGCATGATGAAGCAGTTTCCATCCTTCTCTCATTATAAAAACACAACTTTTTGTTATTATGGCCAGTAACTAATACTTTTCATTCTCTTCTTCCCTGCCCACCCCACACACCCCCTGGCTCTTTTCCATGGATGACAGATTCAATTCAGTCAGACAAGATCTCAGAAACTACACAAAGGAAATCAAAGGAAATGAGCTCATCTAGCATGCCTGGTGCCTCCCAATGTTTCAATCCACTAAATAAAATCTCATCAGGATAACAACACAGGTGCAGGAGGAAAAAAGGGTGTTAAAAAATGCTGGACTGTTTCACTGCAGTGAATCAGGACAAATGATGAGTGTGATTAAAGAAACAAAACCTGCCATGATTTTCCTTGTGCCTGTTTTGAGTAACTTTCTAACAGTAACCCCTCCCCAAGAGTTACTTACGTCTGTGGAGCTGGGGCTAGGCAGGGACACAGGCTGAACAGCTGCGGGAAAAGTAAATGTGCTCTCTGTCTTTTCATTTTCAGGGGAGTCGGGATAACTGGAGAGAGGGGACGTGGGGGTCAAAGCCCCGAACCCCAACACCGTGTTGTATTTAGGTGGACGACCTACATATTAACAACAGGGAACAGAAACGAAACAAAAAAAAAAGAAAGGAAAAATGATCTTACATACCTTTGGCCAGTGGTCCTCATTGGCTAGCGTGAAAAAGGAAATGATGTAGCACAGAGAGGAAGTTAATATAAAAGTCATAAGTGGAAGGACAGAAGCAAAGATTTAAACATTTTTTAGAAATCTTTAAGTAGAATTTTGCAAGGAAAGAACATTTAAAAGATGTATTTCAGAAGGAAACAGAAATAAGCTCTGTAGAGGGTCAAAGAATTATTCCCACAAAAGCAGCATGGGGACAGTTGCTACTCCTAAAAATGAGGCTATTCAGTTTTGAGGGGAAAAATGTTGGCATCGAAGCTCCACAGAAGCTACAATAGCTACTATTAAATCCTTTCTGCTGTTATCCCACACCTCCCTATCTTTCTAAGTGCCAGCATAAATCTACACAGAGGTTAAATCCTTTATCAGAGGCCAACACTCACCACCCCCCTACTTTTCTTCCCCATTTTTTAAACCTCTCAGTTCTCAGATCAGCACTTTCTACCCTACCAGTACATTTTTAAAATTAGGCTACCTAAGAACAGGTCTTGTTTTCTGACCCATAAATAATATCAGTTTTAACCTATCACTGGTCTTTTACTGTAACCCACTCCAAATTCTGTGTTCTTTCTTAGACTTTCTCAGCCAAGTATGTTTGATTATGCACAATGCCTAGATACTCCTTTAGACTAGCAGATGTGCAAAATGTCTTCATACAATTCTTATAAAATTACAAATGCAAAGCAAGACAGCAGAAAACCCAGTATGCAACCATCATTTCTGCCTTCCTTCTCCCAGGTAATTTATAGATATGTAAACATAAAGGAGTTAGGATCTAGGAATAATTCCCCAGATCTTATGTTTACAGATTGTCAGTCTATACCTATTAACATGCTAAACCTTGCATTTAAGGTCTGGATATGTTCCAGCACTAAGTATGTCCTTGGAAATGGATTTCTGCTAGTGATGTCCACGGGTGAAATTTCTGACATGCTCAGCACCATCTATAATTAAACTAAAGCTCTCAAGGGCAAATGCTTACAAAAGCTTTTCACTCAATATATTGCAGTATTAAATTACAAAACAAATGTATACTTCCAAATCTTTTGTCAATTGAAAACACGTACTACTAATTTGGTATTGACGCAACATAAAGGCTCACTCACAATAGGGTATGATGAAAAAAATAGAAAGTATAATAGTCAGTTGCCAAAACAGGGTAAGAGAGTATCAAGTACAAATGCATGCAATAATTTTCATTGATACAGTAATTGTTCACTATAAGGTCTAAAATAAAATTAAGAAATCATTACTAGAAGAAGGAACATTTACTTATCCACAGAGTAAATGCAAAAACCCTCTATTTAAAATCTACATCATATTACTTAAAAAAATACATTTAATGTTTTTAGGGGATAGCAGCAGAGACACATCTTTTATTTAAAAACAGCATAGCTACAGAAGTGTCAGCTTTGCCACATTGTCTGCTGGACTGAAAACATGGATCAAGAACAGAATATGTCTAATTAATATTTCATCTTGCAGACAAAATCCCCAAAAAATAATGGAACTGTTTAGTGCTAGATGAGAGACTGGTTTAATTTTTTTTAAAATTTGATTTATTACTTTTTTTAGACAGAAAACTTAGGATAGAGAAGGTAATATGAGTCTTTAAGGACTGTAGTTGATGCCATGCACAAATAATGGCATCACATTCTTTCCCACACTGTTCTGCTTCACCTGTTTCACCATAAACTAAGTCTTAAAATTTTACCTGTTCTACAGAAGGATTTCTTTGAATAGTACTGCATGCTTATATGAAAGATCATCTCTCATTTTAGGACAAGTGGCACTCTGGTTGCAGTTAAAGTACTTAGTGTGAGCACGATAGCTTTTCTCACCCAGGGCAAGTTCTTTTGAAGGACTCATCCCTATTCCCAGTAGGAAACAAGGCTTTTGTCACACTAAGTTTCCCCTCCTATTCAGGGCAGAGATGCTTTTCCCACAACCACTTTCTTCTTGACAGTAACAATACAATCTAGTCATTAACAAGGGGATCTTTACAGCAGCTTCATAACTAAATGATGTTCAAACATCTCACATTTTTAGTGAATATCTAGAGAATTGAGTGGGTTTTGTCTGGGTTTTTCTGAGAGTGAAACTGAAATGAAACACTGAGCTGCTTAATAGATCTTGCCATGCTAATCGCTAGAGGTCATGGTCTTTGCCTACCATGGAAATTTACTGGACAAATGAAGTACTGTAGAGTCCTTCTTGTTTTGCTCTTCAAATTGACATGGGGACTACAAAAGCAATGTGGAGGAAGAGGCACTGGGCAGGGAGACAGGTCTGGGTATACCTCACCTCTTTTACGTGTCCCGGGATGCATTGTGCTGTTCAGGTACGTCACTGTACTCTTCTTGCGCTGCAGGGAACAATGGAACAATTTCTGTCGGGGAACGTTCCTGACAATAACTATATGCAGTAGCTGAGGAACAGCACAGTAAGTACTAAGTGAGATTACTGGCTTTTGTGTTTTCTGAAGCACACCTTCAGAAATGTTAGCTTTTTTACACTGCTTCTGATATATGAACTGCTTCAGGCTGATATGCAAGCAGACCAACACACATTGCCATTTGATGCCAGGTTTATATAGGAGAAGGCAGAAAAAGATACAAGTACTAGAAACACCCCAGTGTATTTACTATTTAAAAATCTGAGTGTCGTGTCATTGCAATGGCCTTTTGAACTATAAATGATAGCTTGCCTTTCTAGTTAGAACTGAGAAAGCTTACAAGGTAGCAAGATGTTAGAAAGACACTCAAGATCAGAATGAAAATACCAGCTTCCCCCAGCAAAAAATTAATACCTCAGGCTCAAAAACGGCTCCACTGTACACTGGATTTGCTGTTGTTCTTCTTTTCCTCTCTTGTCGCTTACTTTGGATTTCTTGTAAAACAAAGCATTCAGGTTAGAAAACAATGGATCTCAGAACTTATATAAAGTCCACAGAATTCAGTTTGTATGTGAGAAGAGCTATAAAGATTTCTATAGAACACCAGTCATGGCCGGTATAGGCAACTGCATTATACTTTTAATTTCTGAAGGTTTGAAAACTAAGAGCTGACAAGGAATACAAATACAATGCTCAAGTAACTGATTAAATCCTTCTTCTGACCAAGTAATCCATGACTAAGACACTTAAAACTCATGGTCAATATAACTGGGATCTTAAAAAAATGCCTCTGGTAACCTTGCTGACACTTGAAAATACAGTAGAGAAATATGCAGGTGATTGAAATTATAGGCTGTCTTTCAATGCATAGGATTAGAAGTTTAAATTATAAATCAAATTATAATCCATTAACTCATTCATTAAAAATTACAGTTCCATGAAATAATAAAATAAATGAAAAATCTCAGCATAGGTTACAGTAAAATTATCCATGGTGTATCTTTGCAGATAGAGGTCATCCAGAGAGCATTAGTATTGCCACAGATTTCTACCATCAGAGCATACACTTTCTTCCCAACCTCTGCTCCACTGCATAAATAACTTTATGCTTTGTTTCAATGTCATAAGAAGAGCAAAAACATGCACAACAAACTAAGTTAGATGAAGAGTACAGACATCCCAACGGTACTATTGTACAAGAAAATACTGCATTTAATACAAGAAATATTTTGGAATCCTACTTCCAATCTAGAATGACATGAAACCAGGAGCTGAACAACCAACCTAAGACATTTTTCCTACCTTCCAGGTGGTCATGAGTAACTAGTCCCAGAGACACCATGAAGGCAAGTTTCTGTGAGAGGGAAGAAAAAACATAATGAAAAGTGCAACTGTTAGGATGAGTCATTTATGCCCTTTAAAGGTAGCTGACCAGTAACTAAGCACCAAAATAATTTTTAGTGATACTTTGCTTTTATAAATCACTTTTCATTCATGCATGTCAAACTTCTTGGAAAAGGACAGACAAGAGTCCCGTTTCCTAGATGGGAACCTAGCCTGAGATACTGGGAAATACCCATTGCTCGTGATCACAGAGATGGCAGAGCTGGGAACAAGAGAGCAGTGTCTTTACTCCCATTCCAGCACTGAACTGACTATTAGAAGATACCAACACAGTTCAATTGCCAAAAAAATATTGCTAGTTTAAGATCATTCTCCATCTATTGTGAACTACAAGGAGCCAACTCTAGCTTAAGATTTGCTATTTGCTAAAGGCTATGGGTTTCTTAGAGGATTCTAATTTTAATGCAGGAAATGCAGACACATGTAAAAATCAGAATTTTGTTGTCTAACTGACAACAGTTAGAGCTCACACAACAGTCAATTTGAATCCATCTATGGAAATAAATGTAGCAGAGCATTTAGTTGTAATCAGTTACGAAGCTCTTTCGCCCCAGACTAAACTGGACTAAAACACAAGCAGAATGTGGATATATGTGACTCTTTCCTTCCTGCTCACCAGAGTAGAAATATTTTATAAAGGAAAACAGACAGTTCTTCAGCTTTGAGAATAACTCCAGAGTCTAAAACCTCAAAGGAGTGGAAATCAACTCTGTAATCTAAACCCCTGTTTGAAGTAAGTACCATGGAGAAATGACGATCTTCTAACTTACAAAAGACTTAGAAGCCAAATGCTCTCCAGAACTGCAAATGCAATGCACTACATCTATTTAGATTTTTTATTCTGTAGCCTTATCAACTACTGCTGTCCAACAGAAACGTATGGAATGCTAAAGTTAAGAAGTCTTGAGGGAACAGAGGGAAAAAATATTTTCTGAAGGACAGTGTCCTTTTTTTTCCTTAAAAGAAAGCTCTGGGTATGTTCTGATACCTGTGGATTTTCTTCTCGTTTTGGCTTCGGTGCAGCAGGTGGAGTAACTGTACGACTTTCTGTTTGCTTCTCTTCTGTTTCCACATGTGGTTTAATAGTCTGCAAGAAAACAGTGTTTCTCACATTCAGTGATAACAATGACTTTTTTTACTTTGACTATTAAAGCAAAACAAATACTTTCGCAAATACAGGAGAGAAAATGTTTAAAGCTGACAGTGTGCTAACAAAGACTTAATTGAGGAATCTGATGCAAGAGGAATATTAAGTAAGGTATTTTCATTTAACAAAGAATGAAACAGCCTTGTCACCAATCCATTACCCCACACAGCCACACAAGATAAAATAGCGATTTTAAGAGTTAACTTTGTTACAGAAATCACTGTAATGTATGGGAATACCAGACACTTCAAGAAAACTCATCCCATCAAGACTTCCACTTAAAAACCCCTCTGCATGGCACATACATTTTGTACTTCTCACTCCTCAGTCTTTGATTTTTATAGAATTTTGAATGGCTCAAAAACGGTCCCTCTGAACTCCTCAATGTCAGATGTTTCTGAAGCCTTTTTCTTTTCTCAAGTCATAAATCTTCTGCATGACATCCCTCAGCCTACAGCATGGATGTTGAGGCTATAAACTGAGAAAAGCAAGCTACAGACAGACAAACTTTCGCTTTATGATATGGAGAAATTATACAGAAAATTTCATGTGTGATTGAACCACCACCATTCTTCAATGGTTTTCTGTAGTTGCCAGTCATTATTCAAAGAGCAAATTAATATTGCTGACATCAAAAGGAACAGTCATCAAAAGTCAAATATTGTAGAAGTACAACTTCACATGGAAAGCACACACATTGCTGAGTAACCAGTGCAACAGCTCTGAGGTATGCAAGAACCTACTCTTGAGACTTCATGAGCAGAGCTGAGCATGAGCACAACTTTCATGCACATGATTTTCCAGTCTCCATTAGTATTTCAAAAGTAGAAAGAAGGTAATTTCAAGGCACATTAGTCTAGGAAAGAGTTATAAGTGACATATATACTACTATTATCTATATAAATTACATAAATATTATGTTATAGTATGCAATATAGTATACAATGTTACACTATTACTAACATACAATATACAAAAGGGTTAAAAGTGAATCAGAATATTGCTTTACTTGAGCAGACTGGCAAGGACGCTCAGTTGCAATCCACACTGACTTAAGTAATTTTTATTTTACAGAAGTCTTTTCTGGAGAGAGACTTTAAACATACAGAATTCTCTGCTTCTGAAGGTCTCCTTTCCATTCATTCAGCTTGATTTAGACACAGGGAACCATCAGACTTCAGAAGCTGAGTGAGACTATTTTGCCCCCAGTCACAAGATTGCAAGATCAAGGGATCATGGAAGAAATGGCTACAATTATCTGATCAAATATCCCTACAATTCTGTGCAATTTTTGCCTTTCACATAACCACCCTTTGAAAAACAAAAGGGCTTGATATGAAGATGGACTTCAGCTTGTAATTGCTCTTCAACATACTAGTCAAACCCTGCAATGTAGCCTGCTTATGAACTACTGATGTTTAAACAGTAGAGGGAGCATAAAAACACTGAAGCAGGAGAAAAAGGTGCCAATGGCCCATATTAAAGGAAATGGTAACATCTATCCCAAGAGCTGCAAGTCATTCCATAATTTGTACTGCCATTGGAACATGACTATCTCCAGTATCCACTGAAAACCTCTCCCTGGCTGTTGTCCTCTCCACAGCTGCACAGTAAAGCAATAAACCCAGTACCTTGTATTAGTATGCACTTTATCTGTACCTGTTTTTCAATGTTTGGTTTGCTGATCTGTACAGTCTGAGGCCCAGCGAGTCTGGTCCCCGGTGCTGCTATCACGATGCTGGTGAGCTGTGCCATAGGGAAGGTTTTGGCTATGGTTGCTGTCTGCCCATTAACTACACGAACTGGATGGATGGAGTTCTGAGAGTTGGGTAAAGAGGTGGGTGTGAACTTTGTTGTCAACATCACAGGCCTCTGAATAAGCTGAGGAGCTGCAAGCATTGGGGGAGGTGCAGGGGCAATAGGAATGTTATTTTGGGCAACTGGTTTAGGTCGAACCTACAGAAACAAAATAAGAAAAAGAAAAAAATAAAACCCAGAGATTTGTATATCAGTATTTCAGATCAGCTTTTCACTAAGTCTTTCAATTCATCCTGTATAATCTGCAGGAGGCTGCTTGATTTTTTTAGATAACGTCATTTTTAGCATACTGTCCTAAGTATGTTAAGAGAAAAAAGCACCACATTTTCAAGCCTACTTACATAAAACCCATCCATAACATTTGCATATATAGTCACCATCCCTGAAATGGTATTTGGATGCACAAATACTTATACAGAATGTTTATTGCCAAATGCCTTATCTGTATCTAAATTAACATCTTGGTTTTACAGGCCAAAAAAATCCATGTTATTTACAGGCACAGCTGAGGCGCTCGTATTAAAAGTGTTTCAGGGCTTTGTAATGAACCTCCAAGAAATTATGAACAGTTGACTGTGCCCTGAAACAAAAAATTTTTTTTTCCAGCAAATACCTGTTATCTGTCAATTCTATATATTATTTAGATACCTGCACAACCAATCTTGATAAGCAAAAAAAGTGACAAGATTATATATTAATCCCTTACTGAAAGAGCTGAATGCACAGGTAAATGCAACTATTTATTTTCTTTCACAAGAATGAGAAGAGCCACAAGAATCTTTCAAAACTCATCACCAATACTTGCTTATTTCCTGTCTCTGTTAAGTTTGTAATTTAACAATGGACTTAAAATATCATTGCAGAGTACAGAAGTAGAGCACATTACGTTAAAAATAAAGCTCTTTTTTTCCTTATTTGATTCCTATCCACCTGCAATACTCCATAAAGCATTTTACCATGAAAAACTAGGTCACATTTCAACAGATCTCACCATACCCAAATATTAATCAGATAGCAGCCTTTACTTTCCTTTCTCACTTTGCAAAATATTTACTTTTATTCACAGCATCACATACTTCATAAAAATGAAGCAGTTCATCCAAGATATTTTTTTTTACATAAAGAAACAATCTGTGTCCTCCCCAAACCATGAAGAAAAAAAAAACAAACCACAAGTTTTACTACTCAGCTGAAAACAGAAGCCACTCTCCCTTGCAATACAGAAATACTTGGGAATAATCTAGAGACATATAATTTTTTCTGTTTTCACTCATCAGTATCAAGCAACAATTACAGCAATTTAAGGCCTTGGGTGATGCTTTAATTTTGATGACACCTATTCCATGAGTTCATTTCACTTGTGGCATACAAGATCATTTATAATCATCATTTGCAAATTTCATAACTACAAATTCATACAGGTGGAGGGTAGATGAGGAGGTCTCTAATTTGACCTCTTGCTCAGAGCAGGACCATCACTAAATGCAGATTGGCTGGCTTAAGGCTTTGTCCAGCTAAGTCTTGTAAAACTTCAAGGATGGAGCTTTCACAACATGTCTGGCAAGCCTCTTCCACTCCTAACTGTCCTCAAAGAGAGAAGTGTTTCCTTATATGCAGTCTAAAACTTCCCTGTCCTCATTTATGAGCATTGCCTCTAATTTTCTTGCCAAGCACCTATGTCTCTATGCCTCCAGCTTCTTGTTTATATCTTTGCTGATACTGGAAGCAACATTGCTGTTAGGGTGCTTCCAAAGCCTCTTCTCCAAATTTGAAAAGCCCAGATTCCTTGGCCTCTCCTTACAGGTAATATATTCCTGCTGCCCCAAGCTGTCTTAGTGGCCTTCCTTCCCATGCTCCATGCTTCAAATTTATCAATCAGGGATTCCAAAACTGCAGGGTGTTTATTGGACTCAGTTTCATGATTGCTGAGGAAAGGTGGATAATCTCTTCCCTGAATCTACTGGCTGTAATCCTGCTGGTACAGGTCAATATGCTGGTAGGATTCTTTGCTGTTGGGGCACATCACTCATTGAGCTGCTGTCAATCAAGACCTTTTAATCTGTGCAGCTCCTCAGCCAGTCAGTCCCCAGCCTGTACCTGTGCAGAGAGTTAGTCCATTCCAGGTACAAGATTGCCTTTTCTCATGCTGAGGCTCAAGAAATTCCTGCTGGCCTCTTCCTTTATCCTGTCTAGGACTGTCTGCATGTCAGCACTACCTTGAAAAATATTGACTGCACCCTCAAATTTGTTATCACCTGCAAACCTGTTGAGGATGAATAGTTTTCTCCAGCACATCAGCAGTAAACACCACTTAATGTTCATCAAAAGTCTCTTCTATCTATGCTACAATTAAGTTCCTCCTTCTATTGTTTGTTCTCTGTATACTCACCTGTGGAAGAAAATTTGGACGAGGAGTAAGTCTGGGAGGAGGGATGAACTGCGGCACTTTTATGGGCTGAGGCGTAGCCTGAACCTGCTAAAGGAACATGAGAAAGCACAGTAAGAGGTAAGAGGAAACTTTAACTTTGAAGTTTTTCACCAAAATTAACATCCTGAAGGTACTTTCATACCTGATGTCTGCAGTTTTCACTCTGTAAACGATTTTTCATAGCAAGAGGTTCCTCATTAGAAATATATTAAAGACAGAACTAAACCTTATTTTCTAGATCCTACACACCTTGCTTCATAAATTGCAGACATATTTCCTTTTAGTTCAACTGTACTAACTATTGTGCTCTGCAATCTAAAACCATTTCATTTGATGATAATAAAAACTCATGTTTGTTTTAATCATTAAAAAATGGCATTACAACAGACAGAAAATAGTAACATTTTGATGTTCAGTTATATGAGCTATGGTCTTTTCATAGTGAATGACACACAGAAGAATGAGAGAACATCTCATGCAAATAGCAAAGATTTGAAAGTTACAACTCTTCCAGCAATATTAATGACACTGTGAGGGGCTCTAAATAGACAACTTGAAATTTTCAAAAGTAGGCCATTCATTTGAAACAATTAGGATCTGATTTTAAGGAAACCCAAGTACTCCCCTGAAAGGGTAACTGAAATCAGCTGCATGGAGCTGCCACATGATTAACCACTGAAGAGCACTACCAGTTACCATGAGTACCTGGGAAGATTCTCTGAAATTAATGTCCATGTTATTTTATATCCTGTATTTCTGTCCACCCACATAAGATTGCAATTTTCTTCAAAAGGTCTTGTACTGATTAATTAGTACTCGGGAAAATATTCTGATTTTTTGATGAAATTTGCTATAAAAACATAAATCATAGACTACTATTAAAATAGAATTACCTCCTCAAATCAAAGTTATTCACCAAAGAAATGGAGTACAGACACAAAGAACAGATGAAGTGGTGCAAGGGATGACACAGGAAAAGAGAACAGTAGAAAAAACTCCATTCAAATAGTCTTCTCTATTCTGATCACAAATATATGCCTCATTAGGAAGCAAAATTACTTCCATCTGCATTAAACTGTATTTTAATAAATAGAGATAAATTGGATTTTGTTTAATAAAGCCATAGCCTTTACTTCAGAAGTAAAATTTCTCTGTCATGTTTTTACATAATGCCTGGTTTCCAGACCAAGAAGCCTATATAATCCAGTTCTGAAACACTGGTTCTTTTACTTCTAGGTGGCTAACTGTTCTGGAAAAGACTCTGTCATGTAACTAAAGCACAAAATCTGTATTTCCAAAATACATGTTTTTAAAGAAACAGCAACTGTTTATGTGTTTGAAAACGTGCTGAATGAAGACATGGTAGTGGGCAAACTTAAGGGATGTGTCTAACATCAGAGACTTTATCATTCAAAAAAACCCCAAGACAAAGACCCAAACTGATCAAATGAAGAAAGTCTGACATCTCCTTTGCCTAAGAAAAGAGTAAGAATTCTGCAGAGCATAGCCATACAGATTCAGTAAGGGCAAAGCAATCACTACTGCTCCATGACTACGGTTACTAACAGGGGAAACTTTACACAGAGGTGATGACAGCACTGATTTAATTCTATAAAGCAAAACAGTAATAACAACCCACATGGAGAGAATATGTTTTTCTCATAGACTATCACTTTAGCAACGTCAGCTAGTGAAGACTCACACCATGTCCCTACTATCCTCCTTTCTGTGAGAAACCCTGGCTGTTTATTTTTTTCTAATAGCCTTCTTGTTAACCAAACCCACACATATCTGCAGGGCAAACACATGAAACGCTTACCAAAGTTACTGTGTTTTTTGTCACTATTTGGACTGCCTCAGCTCCTGGCCCAGTGACCTTATTTGTTGTCTGGAGGTTGACTGGTGCACTCTGCGCATCAGTGCTGAGGACTGCTTTCTGATTGTTGTTGATAGCAGTAACCATGGCAATGGTAGGTCTCTGACCCACAACAGAGGCAGGCATGGTCGCAGTTGCTGCTTTCAAGACGAGAGGTAGTGTCTTAGTGGTGATCATAGAAGCTGTAGTTACAGTTTTCTAAGGGAAACAGAAAATACACTGTAAGAGACAGAGACACTCTGTATCAGACAGGACGTGGGTTGGTTAGTCAGAAACAATAGACAGCAGGAGAAAGAAAAGGCAGCTCTGAGCCTATCTACCTGCTGTTCAGACAAGCACATTATCTTATGCCTCTCAAAACTGGATAGCTAGAAGCATTCTCATATGAGGCACCTGTTTGGTCTGTTTTAATCACCTGCAGCATTGCAGATTGAATCAAAACAAATTCCTGAGAAAATTACAATTAAGTGTTAGCACTGGCATATCTATTTTGGATCTTTTAGTTTCATATTACTTCCAAAATTGCACTGTCAATGTCAAACATTTAAGGTGGAGGTTTATGAAACATTGCAGCAAACTAGCTTCTCACTGAGTAAAACTCCTATTTTCAAATGGAAACTGTAGTTACAGTGATCCTCACAATCAGAGGAAGAGAGGGGAAAACGTTCATAAGTTGTTTTTTTAAAAAACAAAAATATAGTTTTTATTTTGGGCATCCCAGTCTCGGCTTTAGTGATACATAGAGTTACCTTGTACTGAACTTTGTTTCCTAAGAGCATCAATAGGGTTGTCCTGAAGTTGTAAGAGCTAGCTGTTAGTCTGCCCAGATGCAGACAATTAAATTTAGCTTCTGTGGAATGGGCTAGTTTTGGAATATATGTTTGACACCATCATTACTCTTGGGCTGTTTTAAAAAGAATGGTTTTGAATCATGTAACACCAGCATTTATCTGAAATGCCTCAGTACATCATGCCCAAAATTCCAAAGTTGAAGCAACTATCATTTCAGAGTTTTGTTTTAAAATATACTGTCTTCCAAGATGCTGAGGCAAATGGACTTTACATATCTCATTCAAAAAGCAACAAGGTGAGAGTCTCCATATAAAACCAGAACACAATGCAAACAGAAAACTCATGACACATGACACTTGACAGAATGGCAAATTATCTTATTTCTTTTCACTTTGGTGTAGAAAATCCATTGCACCAACAGCACTGCATCTTCAAAACTTTAGTCACATGATGAAATGCTGTTAGTACTAAATAGCCACCATTCCCTCCTGATGTCAGCTCTGTGTTCTACAGGGGAAAAAATGGAAAATCAGGGATCAGGCAGTCTTTGTGTTCTGAACATGCCTGATTTAGACTACTTGACTTTAATCATACAAGACCTTTATCTTTTTTCTAATAAAATAATACATTTTCCATTGAATGCTTCAGTATTTTCACCAATACTGTCCCCTTAAACAAAGAGTTTACTTTCACACTTTTAATTTCATAATAATTAAACTATGTCCACTAACTGTTAATTATGCACAAGTGTGAAAAAATTCCCTGTATAATGCCAAATCAAAGGATAATTTATGCTTCAGTTTTATACATTTATGAAAAACCCAGACATAATTAAATTGTCCTTGTTGCAACATTAATTTTCTTAACTTTTTATCTGAGATCTAACAAGCTTATCAACCTCTGCTGCTCCTTCTCCAAAGCAAGAGGCTCCGTTCCCATAATGCAGTAACATTAGTCAAGCTTTTCCAATGAGATGTAACGTGGTATCATTTTCACAAGCATTACATTCAACCATAAATGTTTTAAAGAAAGGTGTAATCAATCATGTAATGCAAGACTGTGACTTTTCCAAGGGGTTCTACTAACTCTGCAAGTACTCAGAGTAGAGCTTCAGTGAGATCACAGAGCTTGAATATCCCTGTTACTTTGCTGAGTATTAATTAGATTGCTTATTCTAAAAAGTAGTCAATGCATTAATTCATACTGAAGTTGAATTAATATTCAACTTAATATTCAATAAAACTCATTCATAGTGAGTCTGCATTATTGCACATAATACTGCAATAATATGACCTTTCAGCAGGCTTGTTGCTCTTGAAAATTTTAAAAGACCTCACTGGACACATGTATATTAAAATGTCACTGTTAATTATGGCATATAAACCTAGATTCCTAAATTTGATTGCTCTGAAAACAATCTCTGAAAACATTCTCTGTAGTGACACAGCCTAGAAAAAGGTGTTATTTACAAAAGCAGGCATGAGCAAACTGTTCATAGAGAGACAAAGTATTTGACCTTTCTTTGCTGAAAGAGATTGAGAGACAGTAAGGCAGAGGTAAAACCTGAGATGCAGAAACAAGTGAGGATGCTTCACTATTTTAACAACATAAATAAAACCAGAAAAGTGTGACGGATAAAAGCTGGCTTATTTTTCCAAGGGACAGGACAAACTGCCTTCCAATTTGTAACTACTTTCCAAGTACTGCTGTATCATGTAATACAGTACCAAGTCAGATGAGTGCAGCAGTTTTTTGTCTGTTTCGCTAGAGGGCTCTTTAACTTTGAACAAAACCTCAGTTTTTACAACCCAGGAGATGACCTGGAAGTTAATGAGTGAATTCAAAGTGTGGGATACTGAGAAACACACGAAATTGTGCTTGCTGCTCTCATGTTTCCTGTCTGAGAAACAGAGATCACTGATACAACAATGATCCACTGTTTGCCTATAAATACTTTAGGACATAGTAATATTTGCTTCTTTATTCCATTTCAGCTTTGATATTGATGTTGCTGCTCAAAATGTGTTTTCCTTAGTTAGGTTTGCTTCATTTCTTCAATGTACTTTTCTCAAAACTACAATTAGCTAAGCTTCACAAATGCATTTTAGAGTGCATCCAAACCAACTTGCTGAGTTAACAAGAGAACTAGCAGCCCAACCATTTCTCTCACCTCTGCTTTCAGAGAAAGGGAAGATGAGAATCACAACTGGTCAAAGCTATGGGTGTGATTCACTGCAATGTGCATAAAATGAACTTCATAGGTGAACTCTGTCATCTGCATATCCAGGTAAACATGAGCTCCTAAGATTGCATCAACAGGAAGAAAAGACTTCATATACACTTCTTACAGAACACCTCCCTGCGTTTTCTAGCTGTTTTATTAGCACACTTTTGTGAATTCAAATACCTGAACAGGAGAAACTTGAAATTCCCCTCTTAAGCAAACCACTTTCTCTGCTGGGTTCTGGGGTTATGTCTCTATACTGTACTAAAATTCAGTTCACCTTCCCAATAAAGACCCTATTTCCTAAAACTTGAACTCTGCAATTAACACTGTATACTTTTAGACAAATCTTTGAAAATTCAGGTAAGTATGATTTGGTATGACCTACATCTGTTTAAAAAGAACCAAGCAAAAAGAAGAAGGAACTGTTTTCTTGCATTTTGTTCTCATTTGTAGAGGGCATTTTGTTAGTCATTTAAAAATAAATTACTAACAAAATCATATACCTCATCCAGAGTGTGTAAAGTATTTACTGTTTCTGGAGACCTACTAGGTATGGTCAGACTCATTCATGCAGCTAGGGAAAAGACAGGCTCATTTGCTAAACTTCCACTTATTTTTAAGAAAGGTGATACACTGCCACCCTTGTTTTCTGTGGGGTTATGATTCAGTACTTTGAAATGTACTTTGAAACAGTACATTGTTTTTTAAGCTCAGATTGGAGATTTTTGCCAAAAAACCCAAAATACACATATCAGCATATTCATAGAAGAAGAAATTCATTTGGCACACTAGCAGGCATAAGTGAAAGTTTGCAGTCTTCTCTCTGCACTTTTTCTTTTTTTAATTTTCAGTGAGCTTCACCTTTAGTAAGAAAAAGAATTGTAGCTTTTTACCTGTGATCCTATCACGTTTGGAGAGGGTGCCGTGGACTGTTGCTGCTGTTGATGGTGATGTTGCTGTAGCTGTTGTAGTGGTTGTGGCTGTGGTGTCTGTAGTTTGTTTTCTGACTGTGCCAATGGCTGTATTTGAAATTTACTGTCTGGCTGTTCCTGCTTCACTATCAAATTCTTCCGAAGCTGCTCCACCACTCTTTTCTACCAGATAAACAAAATCATAAACAGAAATGATGACAGTTGTTTAGCTGCACGTACTAGAGAAAATAATAATCCCTAAAGATACATTTATTTGGTGTAAATAAGGAACTGCTCAGAAGCTTAGTGGGACTTCTCTTTTTGGAATTTAAGTATTGGTGTTATCTAATAGACAGTCTAAAATTGGCCACAGAGGAGTATTACAGCCCAGCAAGGTGACCTCACTGTTTTTGTAGAAACCCACTGACCAAAATTCAGCCTATTCACAAACAACATCCAAGATCTCAGAAACCTGTATTTATACAATTCCACATGCTTTGACACCTTCAAACACACACACTCCTAAACAGTGACAAAAAAGAACTTTGGGTTGAAGCTTCCCAGCTGACTTCAAGGCAATAGGCATGTCATTTTGTACTAGGCATTGAAACTGAGTGAGAGACAGTCAGTGCAAAGCGGGGATCAGGAAGGGCATGGATGCATGGTCCTTCTGTTCAATATTATTGTCACCTGAAAAAGAATCAGAGAGCACTCCCTACAAGGGAAGAAAATGCCACAGATCTATTTCTTCCAGCTTAGGGGCTTCATATTACATTTTAGCTTCCATTAAAGTTTGAAATTATTTTAAAAGAGGTTTCTTCTCCTGGGAGCCATTGTGCACCTTTGGACAGTAAGAGGATTTAAGAGCAGATCAGGTGACTTGCAACATAAGATACATGTTATCTGCATGGATAATAATTGTATTCACAATTTATGTTCATATTATACTTTAGTGTAGACAACAATGAAAACGCGGTGAGACTTTTTTTACCTTCTGCAGGCATGACCAGAAATGGACATTTTTACCTATACTCTAACCACCCCCAAATTTGGACAGCTTTAAAAAGATTTAGCTGTATACCTAAGCCCCATGATCAAGAGCATATGCACACTTCCAAGAAATTAGCCAACAAGGCACTCTTTGGAAGAGGACAATGAAGTCAACAGGCATGGGACAGGCTGAACCATGAAAGCTCTGGTGGGAACAGGAATGGTCAGGAAACCTCTGCCAGAGCCAGGTGCTGGCAGGGGGTTGCCCCAAGAAGTTGCACTTACATGAGAAATAAAGTTAAAAATGGTTAAAAACACAACCATTTTGACGATACCAAATGCTTTGAATTTTTGTTTTGTTTTGTTTTGAAGCACTAATATTCAGACACAGTACTAAATATAGAGATGAAAGAAAACACCGAACCAAAAAATCCAGCTATTTACTACAACTGGAAGAATATTTTTCCTCAAATTTCATTCACACATGGTTATGAAATTCTGAGCTAACAAAATATCTGTTTTCTTCATTTTGTGGATATATAGTATACTTATGATTTTAAGTATTTTGCTTATGATGAGCTAATACAGCACAGTGCCTCACACAGTGAGTGTGTACCTCTAGCCCAGAAGAAGATAACAAAAAGGGCAAGTTCCCAAACTGAGAGAAAACTGGAACATTAAAAAGCCAAATAAAAACCACAAGCAACAAACCCCACATCCCTGTTTCATAATGACGAAATGTGTGAGCTCACACGATTGACCTTTTAGCAAGAATGAATTTAGCGACTTGAAGGTACAGGACTACCTGGCTTCTACAAAACCCACAGCCCTGGCTGAGGATGCCTGCTCAGCTCTGACAAGAGAAACACAGGCCCAACCTTGCTGAAAATTCAGGGAGTTAGTAAAGGACAGCAGTCTGAAGGAACTATTTTACCCTGCATCCAGTGAAGTGCTAAAACCTGTCAAAGCCTAAAAGCTGTAAACTGTTTGCTCCCTTCTGAAACAAGGGTAAAATAATAGAAGTGTAGAAGGCAATTCCCTAATTCAGATATTTCACATAGTTTTAAATGTCCTGTGTCCATCAGCTTGCTCATATACATAATAACTGAACAATCATTTAAAACTGCTTTCTGCAAAGATCAAGCATGTTAACATGCAAATCAAAGTGCAGCGTCAGCAAGCAGATACAAGAGCTGAAAACGCAGCCAAGGGGGAGGAGAGAAGGCAGCAAAGTAGGAGAGGAAATAATGCAACATACTTAGAGAATACCTGCCAAAAAATGGACTAAACATACACTCCTCCTGCACAGGAGGCTGAAGAATTACCATACCCAGCATGAACAGGAAGGGAGTTTTTGTCTTCCACAGCTGCATGTACGAATTTCAGGGATAATGATGCTCTTCTACTGATTCCCTGACTGGAGGAAATCAGCAGCAATGGCTCAAGAATGAATTTCCATCTTGTTCTTTACAATGGGAGGAACATTAGTGAAAAGATTAAAAAAAAATATTAGAGAGAGGGGGAGGCAGGCCGGGGACTCCTCTGCCATACCGCTACAGCAGGACAAGAGGCAGCACGGAGAGCAGGGGAGCAGGAGCGAGGTGAGTCACATGGCATTCACACACTGCCTGTTCCACCCCCGGGCCTGAGCCACGGCCTGCAGAGATGGGTAAAACAGGACCGAAGCACAGTTTGCATTAGTGCCTTGTGCAAAAACTGACGCTCAGCATATTTGGCACAAGATGGATAACGTGAGTGGAAAAACGCCGTTGCTCTGGAAGTCTACGCTATCCTGCTGGAGGCTGCTGAGAGCTGCCTGGCAGCAGCATATCCTGCCATCCATATCCATTATGGAGATATTAAATTGGAAGAAACATCTAATGCTTTTAAGATTCAGAGAGTAAAACTGAAGTTTGCACTGCATGCCAATTGCTTACGCAGTTTAATAAGCTGCTTCTACCAACTGTCAGTAAAAATACCACATTGAAACTACTGAAATTATTTTACTCTCTGCAACACTGTTGGGATTATCTGTTTGTTCGAAATTATCAAGAGACACGCTCTGAACAACATATTTCAAAGTCCATAGCTGAATTAGCAAAACCAGACGAGTTTCTCAGGGTTGCACGTACGCAGGAACTCGGAGCAGATCTCCCGTTTTCAGCGCCCCCTCTCACGGCTCAGCCCACGCTGCCGGACTCGGCCCGCAGCGCCCGGCTCCTCGGCATCCTGCTGGAAGCGCCGCTCGGCAGCGCGCCAGCGCCCGGCACGCGTCTGTCTGCAGCGACCTCAGCAGAGCCTCCTTCCGTACGGAGCTAAACGGGACGGTGCCATAAAGAAACTCTTGCTTACTGTCAAACTTCATTAACACTGTGTTTTAAAATTGTTCCTCAGTTATTTGACTGTTCTTAATCAATTTTAAAGACAGTTTGTGCTACAGAAAGTACAGTCTGTTTGACTGAGATTTGCCAAGGCTGATATCAAGTCCTAGCTGCATGTCTTAGAGGCTCTAACACCAGTTAGATTCAGGTGTTCTAAAAGTACCACAGGATTCTTAAGAAATATTCCTAATTCTTTAAATGTAATAATTGCCATTTTTCCTTACCATTCATATTTAAGAATATTTAATTCTTACTACTTCAACATTTTAAATTGAGATTACCTCAATCACAAACATCATCATGCACACAACATGAGTTTTCTGCATGTCTTCAAGCTCTAGTTCTCCTCATATTCCTAGAATAGTTTCTTTTCCTGCCATAATATGAGTGTATGAAAAGCATTTGTCTTTCAAGTTTGTGGAACCTTGCTCAAAACTGAATGCCAATTCTCTCTTTACATCCACGATGTGAAAGAACTGATTAATCTCATCCATTCTTCCGAACTGCATTCTACCCAAAAAGGAACTGCCAGCCCTATGCAATGGTTACTGCCAGACCACTTCCAAACCCATTTGTTGAACAGTGCCCTGTAAGCACACTACATCATCTCAGAGCTCTTGCTGCCTTGACATCTTTATCGCTAATCTCATCAGGAACCGTTCACAGTGCTGAGTTCAGAGCTCGAGACATCTTATATGACCCTTCCTTAAAGTTAATAATTGCAATCAATATTGTGACATTTTGCTATACCACTTTCTCATTCATGCCACAAGCCAGATCCTAACACAGCATTGGAAGATTATTTTGGTTTGATTAAGCGGAAAATAGATCATCTTGATCACGTATCTGTGCCAAAAGGCATCTCTGTGCTCATATAAAAAGTACCATGAATATGTTGTTATAGGAGAAGCAAAGTACTTGGAGCAAACTTTAAATACAGTTTAAGGTTTTTATCCTTATTAGCTAAGCATTATTTCCATTTTAATTGGTCAATCAAGCAAAAAGTAGTTCTCTGTGTACATCTTGCTTTTAAATACTAGATCCCCGATTGCATTTTGTGACACATTTTCCTCTTCTTTCAGGAAACATGTTCAGAAAAACATCCATATCTAAAGAAAGGTCTGCTTTTAAACTTCAAAAATCAATAAAAATTAAAATATAAAGATATTTTTAAAATGAGAGAGTAAACTAGCACACTAAATAACATTGCAATGCATCCATTTCATCTCACAAAACCAAAGCTGATGTGGTTTGAGCTGCTCAGCTGCCTGCTAGTGACATGCTTTCCCACTCTCCCAGTCTCAGGAAGTCAGCTATTATGGATCCTCGGTTACCAGTGCCCTCCAATGAGCAAGATGTTCTCTGGGATATAAAAGCTGCCTACTGCTGTGAGCGAAATGGTTAAGAGGAAGTACTAATTTCAAGTATGCTCCAACTTGGAAGTGGGGAAGATAGAGGGAATTTCACTACTCTGCAACTTTCCTTTCCAGCCTCCCTTCTCCTTCTTTATCAGTCCTATTCCCAGTCACTACCCAAAGAGAAAGATACCAGAATTTCCATGGCAGAAAGAAGCTACAAGATTTTAGAGATGTGCTACAATTAGTCTTTAACCTGCAAGGAGGGTGCATTCTGGGAATGGAATCTGAGAATGGAAAGATTACAAGCAAGGAGAGTAATTGTACACTCATTTACTGCTTTAAGATGGTATCTAAAATTTAAAATAGTGAAATCCAATTATAGAAATTGATGACACAGAATCTAGACCAGTAATGAAAAAAACCCTTTTGTACAAACCAGCTTGAATTAAATTCC